GCAATACGTCAACAATGTCATAATCACTGAAATAATACGACAAAAAAAAAAACTCACAGAGTCTCAGACGGCCGAGGAAAGTTCACGAACGCGCGCTTTTCCGAAACTGCCTCAGCCTCCACAGGAACCTGTTCTGTGACCGGCATTTCCGTTGCGTTCTTCCCTGTAGTGGAAACGAGGGTGAGTCACAGAAGAGATAGCGCGTTGTTTGAGGGTGAGTTACAAAAGAGAGTTGGGTCGTTACAGGGTGAGTCACCAAAGAGAGTTGGGTTGTTAAAGGGTGAGTCACAGAACAGAGGCTGGGTTGTTGAAGGGTGAGTCACAGAACAGAGGCTGGGTTGTTGAAGGGTGAGTCACAGAACAGAGGCTGGGTTGTTGAAGGGTGAGTCACAGAACAGAGGCTGGGTTGTTGAAGGGTGAGTCAGAGAAGAGAGTTGAAGTGCAAATGAGTGCAAGTGAGTTGGGTTATTTGAGGGTCTCACAGAAAAGTGTTGGGTTGTCAAAGAGTGAGTCACAGAAGAAAGTTGGGTTACTAAAGGTTTCCTTGTTTGAGGCTGAGTCACAGAGGAGAGGTTGGGCTGTTAAAGGGTGAGTCACAGAGGAGAGGTTGGGCCGTTAAGGGGTGAGTCACAGAGGAGAGGTTGGGCCGTTAAGGGGTGAGTTACAGAATATACGTTGAGCTGCTTGAGAGTGAATCATAGAAGATAGGTTGTGTTGTTTGAGGGTGAGTCACAGAAAAGAGATTGGGTTGTTTGAAAGTGAGTCACAAAACAAAGGCTGGGTTATTAAAGGGTCACAGAAGACAGGTTGAGCTGTTAGTAATGGTTCACATCCTCCTTTGCAAACAGCAACACCTGTTGAATTCGGGGCGTGATGTACCAATATAAGGCAATTTACTCCATGTGGAAGGAAAAGCATAATGAGGGAGAGGAGGAGAAAGAGAAGAAAAAGACGAAGAAGAAGAAATAAAAGGAGCGGAATAGGAAGTACCTATAAGGAGAAGGAGAAGAGGAAGAAGAGTTTTAGGAAGGAGATATAGGAGGAAAAAATGAAGAGGAAGAAACAAAGGGAGTGAGTAAACATCGCACACATACAGAACAGCCTAAAAGCGGATGCTTTCCACCCGCAAACGACGCCAGGGTCACGCGAGTATGCGCAGCAAAAGCGGTGGGGTTTCTCTTGTAGGCTTGTCACCTTCTTTTCACAAAAATACCCAAGGCCATTTTCAAGTCCTTCAATCATCTCGCGCTTTCTTCACTTGGAGTGTTAGCTCATCCCTGCCTTAGATTTTGAATAAAATCCATCAACTGCGAGCGACAATTTAGACATCCCCTGAGATGGCCTCAGATTCTGGTAGTCGCCACACTGACCCTGTGCTCTAATACAATAAATTCTGAAGCCACGATGACTCTCTGGCCGTTCTCCCCCACCACCTTCTCAGACCTCTTGCTGTGACGAAAAACGCCCTTCGGACACCGCTGTCACGTGAATGCTGACCCAAACAAACTACACAGCAACTCTGACGACTGCATACGCTCGCATTCGTGGCTTGTGGCGTGGCGTGACACTCCGGAGCGCCTGTCCTCCCAAATTACTCTAATTTTAAATTGTGTGCCAGCCCCTATAGAGTCGTTTCAGGGAGAGGCTGACCAATGCAGCTGAACTACAATTCGTTCTGCTCTGAACAACTACTGTTGCTGTATTCACCCCTCTTGCAACCATACGCCAGCGACGCTATGCGGACATCCAGACCGGCAGGGCCACAGTCCAACCTAATATTCCTACTTCATGCTGAAGCCCATAAACCATGCAGCAACCAGAAAGCAGAGCTATTCCGCTTACCAGAAACGTCATACAAGATCGTGAAGGTACTGTAACAATAACCACATTGGTCATGATGAAATGAAAGTTTGAAAAATCCTGCTCTAGCGGGGCCTACTTTCTCGGGCTCCTACACACACACACACACACACACACGCACACACACACACACACACACAGAGAGAGAGAGAGAGAGAGAGAGAGAGAGAGAGAGAGAGTATAGTGACCAGTTCTCGTGATCTCTTTCGTTTAGCATACCAGAAAAGCCATCAGTTTCCAGTCTTCCATTAATCCAGCTGTCCTCAACCGAAGCCAATACGTCTACAACCATGAAATGACGAAAAGACCTTAGAGCACGCCAATCCAACCCTTATTGTTCTGATGTATTTGTATATAATCTCTTGATTATACACAAAATTCCTTTATGTCTTACAATTATCACGTGATTTTACTCAAAATATTTGCTAGGAAATTCTTAATATGAATGACTATGTATGGAATCGGTATTATGATTGATATTCAAAGACAGCCATACTGTCTTCTTTTCACACTGCTAGTCTTGTAGACATCATAACATATAATGTATCCCTTGTTTCTCCACCACACGAGACCATGTCTCTAAATTTTTGTTCATTCTAATTTTTTCACGCTTTCCATTTTGAAATATTTCAAAATGAAGTTTGAAGTTGACACAGGCGACACGACACTCGGTACACCAGATAACAAGCTTTCTCGAATTTGCGCTAACTTAACCAGTGCCTTCCACGTGGGAACACATGTTCCTTACTTCGCTACAGGGAGAGAGGGAGGGAAGGAGAGAGGGAGAGAAGGAGACAGGGAGAGAGGGAGGGAAGGAGAGTGGGAGGGAAGGAGAGAGGGAGAAAGGGAGGGAAGGGAAGGAGAAAGGGAGAGAGGGAGGGAAGGAGAGGGAGAGGAGAGAGCGAGGGAAGGAGACAGGGAGAGAGGGAGGGAAGGAGAGTGGGAGGGAAGGAAAGAGGGAGAGAGGGAGGGAAGGAAAGAGGGAGAGAGGGAGGGAAGGAGAGAGGGAGAGAGGGAGGGAAAGAGACAGGGAGAGAGGGAGGGAAGGAGAGAGGGAGGGAAAGAGAAAGGGAGAGAGGGAGGGAAGGAGAGAGGGAGAGAGGGAGGGAAGGAGTGGGAGAGAGGGAGGGAAGGAGAAAGGGAGAGAGGGAGGGAAGGAGAGTGGGAGGGAGGGAAGGAGACAGGGAGAGAGGGAGGGAAGGAGAGTGGGAGGGAAGGAGAGAGGGAGAGAGGGAGGGAAGGAGAAAGGGAGAGAGGGAGGATAGGAGAGAGGGAGAGAGGGAGGGAAGGAGAAAGGGAGAGAGGGAGAGAGGGAGGGAAGGAGAGAGGGAGGGAAGGAGAGAGGGAGAGAGGGAGGGAAGGAGAGAGGGAAAGAGGGAGAGAAGGAGAGAGGGAGGGAAGGAGAAAGGGAGAGAGGGAGGGAAGGAGAGAGGGAGAGAGGGAGGTAAGGAGAGAGGGAGAGAGGGAGAGAGGGAGGAAAGGAGAGAGGGAGAGAGGGAGAGAAGGAGAGAGGGAGGGAAGGAGACAGGTGACACGACACTCGGTACACCAGCTATCAAGCTTTCTCGAGGGAAGGAGAAAGGGAGAGAGGGAGGGGAGAGAGGGAGGGAAGGAGAGAGGGAGGGAAGGAGAGAGGGAGAGAGGGAGGGAAGGAGAGAGGGAGGGAGGGAAGGAGAGAGGGAGGGAAGGAGGGAGGGAGAGAGGGAGGGAAGGAGAAAGGGAGAGAGGGAGGGAAGGAGAGAGGGAGAGAAGGAGAGAGGGAGGGAAGGAGAAAGGGAGAGAGGGAGGGAAGGAGAGTGGGAGGGAAGGAGAGAGGGAGAGAGGGAGGGAAGGAGAGAGGGAAAGAGGGAGAGAGGGAGGTAAGGAGAGAGGGAGAGAAGGAGGGAAGAAGAGAGGGAGAGAGGGAGGGAAGGAGAAAGGGAGAGAAGAAGGGAAGGAGAGAGGGAGAGAGGGAGGGAAGGAGAGAGGGAGAGAAGGAGAGTGGGGGAGAGGGAGAGAGGGAAGGAGACAGGGAGAGAGGGAGGTAAGGAGAGAGGGAGGGAAGGAGAGAGGGAGAGAGGGAGGGAAGGAGAAAGGGAGAGAGGGAGGGAAGGAGAGAGGGAGAGAGGGAGGGAAGGAGAGAGGGAGAGAGGGAGGGAAGGAGAGAGGGAGGGAGAGAGGGATGGAAGGAGAAAGGGAGAGAGGGAGGGAAGGAGAGAGGGAGAGAGGGAGGGAAGGAGAAAGGGAGAGAGGGAGGGAAGGAGAGAGGGAGAGAGGGAGGGAAGGAGAGAGGGAGAGAGGGAGGGAAGGAGAGAGGGAGAGAGGGAGGGAAGGAGAGAGGGAGAGAGGGAGGGAAGGAGAAGAGGAGAGAGGGAGGGAAGAGAAAGGGAGAGAAGGAGGGAAGGAGAAAGGGAAGAGAGGGAGGGAAGGAGAGTGGGAGGGAAGGAGAGAGGGAGGAAGGAGAGTGGGAGGGAAGGAGAGAGGGAGGGAAGAAGAGAGGGAGCGAGGGAGAGAGGGAGGGAAGGAGAAAGGGAAGAGAGGGAGAGAAGGAGAGAGGGAGGGAAGGAGACAGGTGACACGACACTCGGTACACCAGCTATCAAGCTTTCTCGAGGGAAGGAGAGAGGGAGAGAGGGAGGGAGGAAAGAGGGAGGGAGAGAGGGAGGAAGGAGAAGGGAGGGAAGGAGAGAGGGAGGAGAGGAGGGAAGGATGAGAGGGAGGGAGGTAAGGAGAGAGGGAGGGAGAGAGGGAGGGAAGGAGAGGGAGGGAAGGAGAAAGGGAGAGAGGGAGGGAAGGAGAGAGGGAGAGAAGGAGAGAGGGAGGGAAGGAGAAAGGGAGAGAGGGAGGGAAGGAGAGTGGGAGGGAAGGAGAGAGGGAGAGAGGGAGGGAAGGAGAGAGGGAAAGAGGGAGAGAGGGAGGTAAGGAGAGAGGGAGAGAAGGAGGGAAGAAGAGAGGGAGAGAGGGAGGGAAGGAGAAAGGGAGAGAGGAAGGGAAGGAGAGAGGGAGAGAGGGAGAGAGGGAGGGAAGGAGAGAGGGAGAGAAGGAGAGTGGGAGAGAGGGAGAGAGGGAAGGAGACAGGGAGAGAGGGAGGTAAGGAGAGAGGGAGGGAAGGAGAGAGGGAGAGAGGGAGGGAAGGAGAAAGGGAGAGAGGGAGGGAAGGAGAGAGGGAGAGAGGGAGGGAAGGAGAGAGGGAGAGAGGGAGGGAAGGAGAGAGGGAGGGAGAGAGGGATGGAAGGAGAAAGGGAGAGAGGGAGGGAAGGAGAGAGGGAGAGAGGGAGGGAAGAAGAGAGGGAGAGAGGGAGGGAAGGAGAGAGGGAGAGAGGAAGGGAAGGAGAGAGGGAGAGAGGAAGGGAAGGAGACAGGTGACACGACACTCGGTACACCCGCTACCAAGCTTTCTAGAGGGAAGGAGAAAGGGAGAGAGGGAGGGAAGGAGAAAGGGAGAGAGGGAGGGAAGGAGAGAGGGAGAGAGGGAGGGAAGGAGAAAGGGAGAGAGGGAGGGAAGGAGAGAGGGAGAGGAGAGAGCGAGGGAAGGAGACAGGGAGAGAGGGAGGGAAGGAGAGTGGGAGGGAAGGAGAGAGGGAGAGAGGGAGGGAAGGAGAGAGGGAGGGAAGGAGAGAGGGAGAGAGGGAGGGAAGGAGAAAGGGAGAGAGGGAGGGAAGGAGAAAAGGAGAGAGGGAGGGAAGGAGAGAGGGAGAGAGGGAGGGAAGGAGAGAGGGAGGGAAGGAGAGAGGGAGAGGAGAGAGCGAGGGAAGGAGACAGGGAGAGAGGGAGGGAAGGAGAGAGGGAGGGAAGGAGAGAGGGAGAGAGGGAGGGAAGGAGAGAGGGAGGGAAGGAGAGAGGGAGAGAGGGAGGGAGAGAGACAGGGAGAGAGGGAGGGAGGGAGAGAGGGAGAGAGGGAGGGAAGGAGAGAGGGAGAGAGGGAGGGAAGGAGAGAGGGAGGGGAGGAGAAAGGGAGAGAGGGAGGGAGGGAGAGAGGGAGAGAAGGAGAGAGGGAGGGAAGGAGACAGGGAGAGAGGAAGGGAAGGAGAGAGGGAGAGAGGGAGGGAAGGAGAAAAGGAGAGAGGGAGGGGAGGAGAAAGGGAGAGAGGGAGGGAGGGAGGGAGGGAGAGAGGGAGAGAGGGAGAGAAGGAGAGAGGGAGGGAAGGAGACAGGGAGAGAGGAAGGGAAGGAAAGAGGGAGAGAGGGAGGGAAGGAGAGAGGGAGGGAAAGAGAAAGGGAGAGAGGGAGGGAAGGAGAAAGGGAGAGAGGGAAGGAGAGAGATAGGGAAGGAGAAAGGGAGAGAGGGAGGGAAGGAGAGAGGGAGAGAGGGAGGGAAGGAGAGAGGGAGGGAGAGAGGGAGGGAAGGAGAGAGGGAGAGAGGGAGGGAAGGAGAAAGGGAGAGAGGGAGAGAGGGAGAGAAGGAGAGAGGGAGGGAAGGAGAGAGGGAGAGAGGGAAGGAAGGAGAAAGGGAGAGAGGGAGGGAAGGAGAGAGGGAGAGAGGGAGGGAAGGAGACAGGTGACACGACACTCGGTACACCAGCTACCAAGCTTTCTCGAGGGAAGGAGACAGGGAGAGAGGGAGGGAGAGAGGGAAGGAGAGAGAGAGAGAGGGAGAGAAGGAGAGAGGGAGGGAAGGAGAGTGGGAGGGAAGGAGAGAGGGAGAGAAGGAGAGAGGGAGGGAAGGAGAGTGGGAGGGAAGGAGAGTGGGAGGGAAGGAGAGAGGGAGGGAAGGAGAGTGGGAGGGAAGGAGAGAGGGATAGAGGGAGGGAAGGAGAGAGGGATAGAGGGAGGGAAGAAGAAAGGGAGAGAGGGAGGGAAGGAGAGAGGGAGGGAAGGAGAGTGGGAGGGAAGGAGAGAGGGAGGGAAGGAGAGAGGGAGGGAAGGAGAGTGGGAGGGAAGGAGAGAGGGATAGAGGGAGGGAAGGAGAGAGGGATAGAGGGAGGGAAGAAGAAAGGGAGAGAGGGAGGGAAGGAGAGAGGGAGAGAGGGAGAGAAGGAGAGAGGGAGGGAAGGAGAGTGGGAGGGAAGGAGAGAGGGAGGGAAGGAGAGAGGGAGGGAAGGAGAGTGGGAGGGAAGGAGAGAGGGAGGGAAGAAGAGAGGGAGAGAGGGAGGGAAGGAGAAAGGGAGAGAGGGAGGGAAGGAGAGAGGGTGGGAAGGAGAGAGGGAGGGAAGGAGAGAGGGAGGGAAGGAGAGTGGGAGGGGAGGAGAGAGGGATAGAGGGAGGGAAGGAGAGAGGGATAGAGGGAGGGAAGAAGAAAGGGAGAGAGGGAGGGAAGGAGAGAGGGAGAGAGGGAGAGAAGGAGAGAGGGAGGGAAGGAGAGTGGGAGGGAAGGAGAGAGGGAGGGAAGGAGAGAGGGAGGGAAGGAGAGTGGGAGGGAAGGAGAGAGGGAGAGAGGGAGGGAAGGAGAAAGGGAGAGAGGGAGGGAAGGAGAGAGGAGAGAGGGAGGGAAGGAGAGTGGGAGGGAAGGAGAGAGGGTGGGAAGGAGAGAGGGAGGGAAGGAGAGTGGGAGGGAAGGAGAGAGAGAGGGAAAAAGACAGGGAGAGAGGGAGGGAAGGAGAATGGGAGGGAAAGAGAGAGATAGGGAAGGAGAAAGGGAGAGAGGGAGAGAAGGAGAGAGGGAGGGAAGGAGACAGGGAGAGAAGGAGAGAGGGAGGGAAGGAGAGAGGGAGGGAAGAAGAG